TGGTGTCTTCTCTTGCTCCTAGATAAATTCTAAAGTCTCAGATGGTTATAATCTACATCATTCTTTATCACCCATAAGGTAAACGACACCCTTAACCAATAATCAACAATCAACACCCCAAACCTATAACCGTTCATGCTTTTCTATCAAACCCATCAACTCATATCTCATGAACTAGAGTCTATAATCATTAATCCAATGCTAGAATCAATTAGAGGGTGAAGACATTACCTTTTTGAAGTTCAATCCCCTTGAATTCGAGTTCTAGGGCTCCTTCTCTCAACAATGATGTCCCAATTGAATATCTAATGATATGGATGGTTTACCCATGTTAATAAGATTTTGGAAAATTGTAATTAACTTAAAATCACCAATTAAACTTACCTTGAATGGTGGAGGGACCCTTAAGGAGTTAGGTTTTTGAGAGCTCCCCTTTCTAGAGCAAGTTTTTGTGTTTTGGGGGTGTGGGGGACGAAGTAGGGCTTTAAAATGACCCCCCAAGTGCGCCCCCCGCGCACCTAACCGCGCAAATGGCAGTAACACTGCCACAAGTGCGCGGCCGCACACGAGGCGCGCACTGAGCGCACATATTGCGCACTGTTCCATAAAATGAACATAACGTTTTGCACAGAGATACGTTTGGGCTCCACAATATATTGTTGGAAAGCTATTTCAAAGGCCTACAACTTTCGTGTTTTGAGTTTTTCCAAATACCTTACACATTTTCACTAAATACTGCTGCAAGACTGACCTTTTGTAAACTTAGTAGATTTTATCGAATCTTGTATACCTCACTCTTCGTCTTGATTCTAAAATAACTATTTTCACCCATACTAATCCCGCTAGGACTTCACATGTCTAAAATATCAGATTAATACTCATTTAACATATCCACACCTAGTCCGAATGTACGTGGTGTTACAGAATCGTGCTTCAAAAATCGCGAATACAATCTTGCTGTGAGAGAGAGATCGTGGAGAGAGGAAGAAAACATATTTTCCTGTGATTTTGGGAGAGAATAACTGAAAGAATGAGAGAGAAAATAGTAAATAGCGTATTTAAGCCTTAATGGTAGTGTATACCATAAATACTTATCTTGCTATAATAAAAATAAGATAGCTATAGAAATAATATTTTAAAAGAATTTTGATTTATAAAAATAGGGTGTAAACTTTTGTTATAGATGGTAAAATTTCTTATAATTAAAGAGTCAAATAGTTTTCATCTAACTACGATATTCTTGAACTCTTTTAACTATTTTGGATTATTAAATTTGTTCACTTATAGTAGTATTTACATATGTAAATTTTATTTCTAAAAAAGAAACTTAAAGAATTTATTTCCAAATTTACATAAAAAATTAGATATTTCCCTGTTTTTATCTCAAAATCCTTCACATAAATAAGATGGAGGAAATGACACCTTTACACTGTCTTACTTTGACTTTTCTAAATATGTAAATTTTATTTTAAGAATAAATTTGAAAAATCTATGCCCAAATTTACACATAAAGTGAGATACTTTCATTCTAGTATTTTGAACTCCTTCACACAAAATAAGAGAGATAACTATATTGCTTTAAAATTATAGTATTCACATTGTTTTTCAGTTTCATTGCAAGTTTTTCATATTTTTTTATCGTTCCAATTTTATCGGATGTGCCCGAAGGAAAAAGGGATCTTTACACAAATAGCCAGTCATATTTAGTGTTTACTTTTTCTAGCCATATACATAGATTATGCATTCATTATATATAATTATATACATATAATCCATAAATTATGAATATATTATACCTCCACCGGCTATTTTTAGTTTAAGCGGTTGTGTGGACGGCTATTTGGATTAATAATTCAAGGAAAATTCCAAGGTTATAAAGGTTTTCCATGTTCTTATCTTTATTATCCACCTTTTAGATTTGGGCCTTTAGTGAGCTATTATGGGCTTCTTGGATATGCCGCCCATCGTTATAAGAAAGACTATTCTTTTTGGGCTGGGCTTCAGTGGTAATTTGAGCACAAAAAGGTGGCATTCCAAAACTTTTCTTTTGAAATATTTTGCAACAATTGTTTTTCCTTATTTTCCTTAGCTGATGGTCTATCGGAAACAATATCTCTACTTTCACAAGGTAGCTATAAAGTTGTGTACATATTATCTTTCCCCCACCTACTTGTGGGATTACGCTGGATCTGTTGTTGTTATTGTTAATTTTCCTTTATTTGACGAGGTTGATAACAAATTGTGCTTTATATTTAGTATTTTAAAGTTTTCTAATTTGAAGAAGATACATAAAAGTCAGAATTTAAATAGGATTTATTGTATATCTTCTTTCTTGTTTTTCCTCAATTAAAATAGAGCTCTTTTTTATTGTAGAACAGTATTTGTTATAAAACAAATCAAAGGTGATTCCTGCTGCCCACAAAAAGAGTCTTATACAAATAACTGGAAATTGAATAGCGACAGTTGAGATGGCCGAGTTGGTCTAAGGCGCCAGATTAAGGTTCTGGTCCGAAAGGGCGTGGGTTCAAATCCCACTCTCAACATAATAATATTTTCATTCTCAGTAATTTTATCTGTGTTTGTTTGGCTATTCTTTTTGTTTTTTTAATCTTTAATCAGTCCCTACAAAATCAAATTTTCACCATTGCTGCTGTACTTTTCTAGCCGGGAGAAATTCAAAAATAGTGGTCATTCAAAAATAGCAACAGTTTCAAAAGTAATCAAAATTTAGCCAATTTTCATGTAAAGATAAATCTGAACGAAAACACTGTTGAAAATCCAGAATTATACTCCAGTATAAGTTCCAGCATAATATGCTGGAAGTTCATACACAGGTGCACTAATCTCCAGTAAATTATGCTAGCCCATGCTATTTTTACTTTCTAGCTTTGATCATTGGCACGTTGTGGTGCGACTACTTATGCTTTTCGTTAGACTTTGCTTGACCTTTTATTAGTTAAGAAAAATTTACTCGCACTTGATGTTTATATCAAAACAATGGATACAATATATGTACTATTTTTGTTCACACATTTATCAACTTATGTTTTAACTGCAAAAGATAAATTGTTTGATTTTATATAAATAACGAGTGCAAGTAACACCATGCACCAGCTTGACATGACGCATTCTTCAGGTTCAATCAATCAATTAGAGGATTAAAAAAGGGCAGTTCGGTGCATTAAAGCTCCCACTATGCATAGGGTCCGGGGAAGGGCCGGACCACAAGGGTCTATTGTATGCAGCCTTACCCTACACTTATGCAAAATGATGTTTCCACGGCTTGACCTCGTGATCTCCTGGTCACATGACAACAACTTTACCAGTTACACCAAGGGTCCCTTTATGTTGGAGTATTAGTCATAATTAATTTTTTACATGTTAATTCTACCACAACTCTATTTTGTATCCGGCTTTATGTTCAATAATGTTAATTATCTTGGTTTTGTTCAATTTTGTGAAGCTGATGGTGCATTTTGTCTAGAGTTTAAATGTTAGACATTTACACAACCTAAAATATCTAATACAACTAGAAAGCGAAATTGCAGTGGAATAGGAAGGTCGACTTACCTTTCGTCGTCATTGTTGTTTGAGATAAAACTCTTCATATATAAATATTTTTATACTATAATAATTTTGGATTGTATAGTTCTTTTAAGTTGCGTAGGGTACCGACTAGTTAAATAGGCAAACCAACATAGTTTTTCTCTGTCAGAAAAACTTAGGAAATTAATGGGCATGCCTTACTTAATGTGTACTTATACTTGTTTGACTCAAAAGATATCGAAAGCTTTTTGAACAAATCGATCAAAGAAGATGAAAGGGTAAATCTTAGTCAAACATAATAAACTCCAGATCAAAGAGTTAACAGTATGGATGGCATATAGGATGAAAAAGATGCAAACGATCTTATTGAAATTCAACATTATGTCTCCCATCGATCGATGGAGAGATAACTTTACATGCTCTTCTGTAGATTACTTTTTTCCTGTAGAGATTACAAGAGGAGAGCCTGGCAGAGAGAAAGGAAAAAAAAGCCCCCTCAATAGAAGGTTTTCCACTATATATAGTCAAGGCACCCTTGCCCTTTACTTGGTCCGACGCCCTCTTGCCTCCAATGTGTCTTGGTCGTCCCTTTAGGCGCGGCTCTTTCCGACTCGACGGATGTCGGGAAAGGGATGCGGAGTGGGCTATGTTATATTTCACTGCTCGGTCACTTAGGCGGGACGTTGGTCAGTTCGGTTGTAATGGTCAGATTTTGACCAATACAATACTTTTCTGAGCCGAGGGTCTATTGGAAACAGTCTCTCTATCCTCACAAGCTAGGGGTAAGCGTACACACTACCCTTCCCAGACCCCATAGTGTGGGATAGTACTGGGTATGTTGTTGTTATTATTGCCTTACTTAATGTACCCTCACTTTAAGACAAAGTTGTCATTGTGACAATTAATGTAACTCCAGTCTTATGTAAGTTTATGCATGTGTCTTATGAGTTCAAATTCAAAGCCAAGATTTAACGTTTATGAGTTCAGATTTCTGATCATCATTAGTTAATTGGTTTTAAAAGTAATAATTTGTACATATTCAAGTATATTTCTTAAGACAAATACTTATTGGGTTGAATTCGTAACCGTAGAATTAGCTCCGCCCCTGTTTGAGTTAATATAAATAGCTAGCTTTAAGCTAAGTGAATTAATGTGAACCACATTAATGAGAAGTAACTTAGTAAAATGCTAGCGACCTTTACAAGGGCTTTGAAGAGATAGAGGAAGGGATGTAAAGAAAACAAAAATACATTAAGCAGTTGAAAAGAAGTAATTAGGTTTAGAAGGAGGAAAATAAAGCAGATAATTTTTTTTTGGTCAAACAATAAAATTTTATTTAACCAAGTATGAATATGTACATTTACTAGTTCATTTTTGACTCTAGAACTACTCCTCATCTTTGTAACTTTCTATGGATATTCCTCCTACCAATTTGATTCTATTACAATATATACCTATACTAAATTTGGGTATGAGTTTGCATTTTCTGATAGCCTTTTCCATCTGCTCCTAGGTTGTCCTTTACTCTGCAGTTGGATAACAATCTTCCTTGATCTAAGTCTCCGATCTCGTTGTTGTTTTTGGAATCTTCTGGCGTTGTGCTCATCCCAAATATGATAGACACGCGCAACTTTCAGCCATCCTAGGACCTCTGCATGAGCTTTGCTGCTGCACTTTTTGGTTGTTATCCTTTCAACTTCCTCGTCCCAGCTTCCTACTTGACTGTTTTCTCCAATCCAGCATAAGAAGGAGCTCCATAGTTGTCTTGAGTATTCACATTCAAAAAATAGGTGTGAGTGTGTTTCTTCAGCATCAGACACACATAATACACAGTTCCTAGGAACTTGTATTCCCCATTTGGCCGATCTATCAGCTGTAGTGAGTCTCTTCTGCAGTGCAAGCCATAGTATAAACTGGTACTTTGGTACAAGACATGGTCCCATATTGAGGCTCTTCCACGCAACTTTAGGATATTGGGGACTCAGATGCAAGTATGCTTTCTTGATTATGAACTTGTCAGCTTGCGTGAACTGCTGCATATCTGTGTAAAGGTCATTGAGTCCATACCACTTCCTTGCATAAAATTTTTTCCTAACAAGCCAACATGCTTGTTTAGGTGTCTCCATCTCACTAATGTTTCTTCTCTTTATGTAGAAGCTGTGAATCCATTGTACTCATAGAGTATCTTTCTTTGATGTGATAGCCCAAAGTAGTTTAGATATGGCTGCTTTATTCCATGTTTGGAACTCGATTATGTTCAAACCCCCTGCTGATTTTGGCATACACAGCCTCTCCCAAGCCACTAATGCTCTTCTTGATGTTGCACATTGTCCAGTCCACAAGAATGTTCTACAGGTACTTGTTATTAGTTGGATTACCTTTTTTGGTATCAAAAAGACATGAGACCAATAGGTTTGAATCTCGAACAAGACACTCTTGATTAACTCCACTCTGCCACTATATGAAAGGAATTTGGTGGTCCAACATCTAATCCTGGCAATCATTCTCTCCACCAGAGGCATGCAGTGTTGAACAGTTATTTTCTTGGATGAAAGGGGAACACCAAGATATTTGAAAGGTATCTCACCAAGTGAAAAGTGCATTTCAGCCAGGATTTGATCTTTCAGTTGTTGTTCTACCCCTGTTATTGTCACACCTCCTTTTTACCACTCGAAGGTAAAGGGAGTTTTATTTTTCATGGCACACCTCAAATGATTTTTCTTTTAGAAGAAACTTATTCAATTAAGGTCACCTAGGATATTCCAATTTAGGACATAATTTAACAAAGGATAACTAATTATGAAAAGATTTCAAACTATTTTTGGGATAAGGGGAATGGGCCAGGAGCAGCCCGCTAATGAATTAGCTTTGGGAACTGAAGATTGGGCTCATGAATTGCCCAGAAACCAGAAACTTAAAATACAATTGCAGGTTGAGACAAGCAGCCGACGTTGGGCTTGGATTCTAGGCGGGCCCAGTTGTGCATTGGCACCGGCTGGCCTACCTACCTCTTGCATTTTAAAATTATGGTATACATAAATCAAGAATTACAATAGAACTTCTTTTCCGGATTAAGAGATTCGAACTTATAATCAGAAAATTGAAGGCTAATCATGATACAACTGTTTGCAAGCAATAAACTATTCATAGCTAGACTCAAAATGTATAACCACTTGTTCATGAGAGCATACAATAAGAAATCAAAGGCACGGCTTAATAAAGTCAAATCCAGCTCAACCTTAAACAAAATAAACATTCATCAAGCTTGAGGAAATGAGACATAAGCTCAAGAGCCATTTGGGCCTGAAATTGGGCCCTAAAGGCAAAGAGTGAACTTCAGACAAAGGGCAGCCCAAATGTGACTTTCAGCAGCTGGCTTAAACTTAACCAAGCCCAAACCAAACATTCGAATCTCTGAAATTACAACAAGAAAACGACTTAAATTCATGAAAAAGCTACTCACAGAATTTTACCTTAAACTTACCAAGAACACACACTCAGGCGCATTAATTGCAGCCCAGCCTGTGAAACGTAAGTTCAGATTCAAACATTTAGACAGTTCTATTATTACATGACTCTTAGTATTGAATAACAAACTTTACATCAGTAACGAGCTCTGCCTTGCTGTTAATTCATGTTACTGCCTTTTTGAAACAAGTACAGCTAAATGATGAACTAATCTAATTCTAATACATTAACTATTATAGAATCGTACGCTAGTAGAAGATCCTTTCCCCTTTTGAACATGGCTTTGTCCATAGCAGCTTCGTCTTCTTTTGTTATCATGTAAATCCCACCTTAAAGCTTCTAAGCCAATTGATCCAACCAACTGGTGGCTGAACCAACAGGTTATAGCTCATGACCAAGTAAAAAAAAGGTTTTTAAATGAGGAAAATCAGATGGAGGAGAAGAAAAATATTACTTAAAGAAGCATGGACTATATTCTTGACTGAGTGTTTTAATATGAATCAAGACTATTGATATTCAGCCTTAATATCATTCTTTTCACACTGTTGCAATGCATACCAAAATACAAAACAAGCTATTACATAAATATATTGCTCATGTTAACACACTGGCCATTACACTATCCAAAGGCAAAGACCAATCAAACAATATCTAAAGAACAACTCATTCATTGCACAACCATTTGCAAAGGTTTAACATCTTTCATAAACTCATGTACAAGGAAACTACATAGAGTTCTAAGTAGTACCTGGAATATTAAGGATTCAGCAAAGAAAAGTAGAAGAACAGATTTCTGAGAACCCAAAAGAGAACAGCAGCACAACAGCAACAGATATAGCACAGCAAACCCAAGAAATCAGAAACCTCAAACCCCAAAATGAACAGCTGAGAACAGAGAGACCAGCTAATAGACCCAGAACTTTTCTATCTTCAAACCAGGTTTCAAAACTTGTGAAGACCGAGAAAAAAATTTGAGTTTTTTCAAGCTGTTTTGATTATGAAACTTTTCAGTGAATAAATGGAACTTTTCAGAAAAATTACTGATGAAAATATGCCTCCGAATCTGTCTTTTTTTAGAGAAATAGAGGCTATATATAGGCTGTCTAGAGGGAGGGCATCTTTTAGCATATTCCTTATCGTAAAGAATAATAGTACAGTCTTTTTTAACAGCCCTTGGTACAGCTGTCCCATTTTCAGCATATTTTAAAAACAGCTAGGACAGCTGTACATTTTTCCTAAAATATCTGATCTTCAGCCTAAGTAAAAACCCCTTTTTACCCTTTAAGTTATCACTTATTTCAGGTTTTACCTAAATTTTCTATTCCAAATGAGCCCCCTATCGTTTTACTGATTTTCAAATCAAGGCAAACAACTTGAAACCAAATTAAAAGGTGCAGCAAATGTGAATAGAACAGTGGAAATTTAGAAAGAACTGTTGTCAATTGAATTTGACCCAGCCTATCTTTACTTAAACTGTAAACTACAGCAATCATAAAGAACACCTAAAATCTGAATTAACCCAGCATATCACAAAATCTAAACTTGAAGCTGGAAGAAGAGAACATTTAATCAAGATGGGATCAATGCGATTCTGGCATAGAAATTTGAACAATTACTAATTAAACAATCAATCTAAAACTAAAATCAGATGAACATGTGTCGAGGAGAAGAAATTATAAAAGAACAGCTATTGGTCTGGAATAAAGCAGCTATGAACAACCAATTCAACAAAAAAAAAAAAAAACTAAACAAACCTAAACTCAAACAAATTACACATGCTTTAATTAAAATGGATGTCAGGAAATAACTGACTGTCATAAGAGGGAAAACAAAAGAAGAAAACCTAACATGCTGCTAAAATAAAGGAAAAATCAAACATGCATAGAAGGGGCAAAAACAAAATTAAACAATCAAAAAGAAAAGGAAAAGGGTTTACCAATTGAAATCAACACTGGATCAAACACAGAGCATTGTCCAAAACTCCTAAGATGTGATATGGACTTTGACCACCATTAATCGACTGTTCTTTAAAAGAACAGTCGACTAATGGAGGTTTTAAGTCCATTCGACTAAACGCAGACCAGGAAAAGAAGAAGAGGACTTTTAGGTTTTTTCTTTTCTAAATCACCGATCTAAGATTCGAAGCGCTCAAGGCTGATTCGAAAGGGGTTAAAGGTCGTTTGGGGTTCTGATAAGGGTAAGTATCATAGGGTGTGAATTTGAAATCATTTGGAGTTGTTCAAGTTTTGGCCGGATCTTTGATTTAAGATTCGAACGGAATGGGTTTGATTCGAAGGAAGGGAAGTAAAGATCTGGAATGGGGAGGTAAAGGGAAGTCTGTGGTATCAAATTTGGGGCAATTTGACTATCGGAACCGCCGTGAGGCGATTTTCGGTGGGCGGTTTGCGGCGGAAGCGGTGAGGGTTTCATGGGCGGCTAGAGTTTTGTTGGTGGGGGTGACATACAGAGCGAAGTGAGACGAGTTTTGATCTTTGGGGGGGGGGGGGTTGACTTCGGATTCGGACAGTTATATGGTAATGGGCAAAACAGTTCCGAGCCGTTGGATGATAGAAATCCAACGGCTGTGATGAGGCCTGACCAAAACGCGGTCGTTTAGTTAGACAGGGCATTGGACCGGGTTGGGTATGACTTGGGCCTGGACATGGAGACGGGTAATGTGCAAAAATCATTTGGGCTTGGGGAATTTGATTAGAATGGCCAAAAAAATCAGATTTTGTATTCCTTTTCCTTTTCTTTTTTTTTTTTAATTTCAAAATTCTTTTTCTCTTCAAGTTAAAAATAAAAACCTAAATTAATTTCTAGACCAAATTATCCTACCAAATCAGATTAATTACTCAAAAAATAATATTTACAACAAATTAATTAATTACCAAATTAAAAGAAAACTACAAAATTCGAAGCTAAAAATAAAAATGCAAAAATGAGTTATTTTTGTGATTTTTTTTCCATTTTTGTAAAACAAACTAATTTACTAATTAATCTAAAAATATAAAATTAAGTCCTAAATGCAAATGCAATGTATTTTTGTATATTTTATGAATTAGATAAAAATTAAGCATGCGCAGAAAAATACAAATAATTAGAAGAATTCTACAATAATTCCTAAAATAATAAACAATTAAAAGAAAAAATATAATTCTTTGGAATTCTGTAGGCGTAATTCATGTGGGGCAAAAATCGCATGCTCACAGTTATATGTAAAGAGCTCTATTCCATATTTTTTTTAAGGCCTGATACTGCTGAGAAATGTTCAAATTCCTTGAGCATCAGTTGAATGGATATTTGATCTGCTCTGCAACACATGATTAAGTCATCTGCAAAACAAATATGTGTTAGTTTCATTTTCCTACACCTTGGGTGATGGTTGAAATTGGGGTTGTAGTTCAATTGTTTCAGAGATCTATTCAAGTACTCCATTGTTAGTACAAATAGGAATGGTGATATAGGATCTCCTTGTCGAAGCCCTTTTCTTGCTTGGAATTTAGGAGTGAGGCCTCCATTTAAGATGATAGAGTAACTGATAGTCGAGACACACTCCATGATGATATTAACAATACTTATTGATAAGATTTAAGAGGTATAAAGGAGGATGAAAAAGTGCAAGAACTTGAAGAAACAGATATAAGAGTTCCTTCTG